CAAGCATTCAACAAATCATGAAAAAATAGCATTTAAATATGCTCACACAGAAAAAGACAGAAAACAAAGGGAGTGGTAAAGAAACATTTTTAAATGTTTGGAAATGCTATTATATGATGATAAAGGTAAGATCAAACACTACAGGTCTAACAATAAATGTAAATGGATTAGACTCTCCTTTTTGATCGTTGTGAAATTCTTATATGTAGAACATAGTACAGAGAAAATATAAAGAGACCAAAAAAATTAAAACAATGGACAAAGATATATCAGATGACTGTGCTAATATGCATGGAGTTTACATTAATACCAGACAAAATATGTTCAAAACCACAACAGGAACAAAAACAACAGAACTTCACTGAAAAAAAAAAAAGTATATATATGTACTTTGTAAGAACAAAGAGTATCATGTTTTCTTGATTAATAGTAAAGGTCTAGTGAAAAATGTGAAGACTTATTAATTTTCTGTATCTACTGACTTAATAGCCAAATGTATAAAGCAGAATCATCAGAAACAGTTGTAGAAGATATATTTCTCAGGTGATGACATTCTGAATAGGAAAAAATATATAAAGACTAAGCATTGTTACCAGTGTTAATATTTGCAAAAAATAATAAGATAATAATTTTACATTACACAAAGAAAAACCACAAAGCAAACAATTAGAGAAAATCAACTTTTTAAAGGCCACATTCATGAAATTAAGGTAAATAAAACTTGAAATTAGTGACTAAAATAGTTATGAAAATGTATCAGTGACATTTTTTAAAAGCCACGAAACTCTTTTAAGTCATTTAGATATAAAAGGAAACATATATTACAATTACAGAATATGCAAAATCACTGCATATTAAAACATAAGAGAATTGCTGAAGCATTCTCAGATGGAAATTTAGAACAATAACTAACTTATTAAGGAAAAACATGAATTTAAATGAGTAAATTCGCATTCAATTCAGTATAGTTAGAAGGGGAATAATAGAAAATTAAACAAAAGATAAGATAATTAAGAAATTGATGCATTAACACACAGAACATATCAATGTCAGAGCATATCAATGTTCAAGAGCTGTATCCTTGATAATGCAAAAGAAAGTGGGCAAAAAAATCTCGCAAGTCTTATCAGGGACAAAACAAAAGATGAAATAAAGTATTAACAATGGAGGAGAGGATTAGAAAACTAGTCTTAAAATATGTATAACTCTACATGAATTAATGTCAAACTCTCAATAAAAAGGCTATTTTTAGATAACTATGAATGATCAAACCTGACACAAAACAACCTTGACAGATTAATAGCCATGAAAGAAACTGTAAAATTATGCAAATTACCCTAAAGAAAGAGCTTGTATCCAGAAAGTTTTATGGATTCCACGCCATATAAATTATTCTAGTTACTAAAACACGATAATAATGTATACAGAATATACATTTATATTATATGTATATTACATATATAATCTCAGTAATATACACACATTTAAAATTAATATTACCAAATCAAATAAAGAATAACATTGTAAAGTACAGTCACACATGCTGAATAGAATTTTCCATGTGAAATCTAGAAATTACATGCACACCCTGTGTGTATATGTATGTGTCTGTATTAATAAAAAAGTTGGGGAAACAAATTCCAGCAGTTTCTTCTTGTTTCTTTTTTCATCCTAATGAAGTCAGACTTGGGGTGATTCCCCTCTTCTTTTTATCTTACTGTTTTTTAAACTTTTGCATTCAGAAAAATATTAAGTATATCACTCGTTCATACATCTGAAAAAATTAGTCTCATATGATAGTAAAAGGTAAATTACTGAGATACTGAAGGATTATATTTCATGTGGTTATTTTAAAGATTTCCTTAGAATATTTGGCTTTCCTGTACTTAAGATAATATTTATTATGACCATTCTAGAGTAATTGTTCTGAGCTATGAAAAATAAGGTTTTTCCATGAGTGGCTCATATGAATAGAAACCAGAAAAAGAATTTGAATTGGATGTTCTTTAAAGTCTTTCCTCATAATAAATTCTGATTCCACTATTTATCCCAAGTTACAATAGGAATAATAATTATTATGTGAGATTTTACTATCTGTCAGGCACTGTTCTAAGCAATCTATGTGTATTACTTAATTTTCCAAAAAATCTCCATGAGGTTGCACTATAAGATAGAATAATAATTGCTATTATTATTATTATTCAATGTCAAATGGCAACTAATGATTTATTAGAGATTGCAAATAGAGCATTTTGTAAGCAAAATGTATCAGAACATTTCATTCACTGACAATTTCCTTTTTCCTTTTGAAACCCCAATCACTTATATACCTGTGCAATGAAATGATTGCTTGAGATATGATTTATTTTCATTTGGAAACAAGTTCTTATAGTCCCTTGAATGGTGCAGAAGAGTTAGCTGCTCTGGGTAGGCTTCCCAGGAAGTGCATCAGTGTGCAGGTGGTTTATCCGGGAAGTGCACCTGTTCCGGGGTCAGGGAAGGAGGATTCGGCAGAGGGACAGTATCTGGAGCTGGAATGGCCCTTCACAGATACTCTGAATGATTGGAGGCAGCTGCCCAGGGGCCCAGAGTCAGTTTCCACCTGCCAGCCGCATTCCTAGCTGAGGGTGTGAGTCAGGATGGAACAGAGCAGAACCTGGTAGAGAAAAGTGCGGTAATGTTTTCTAGGCAGACCCAACAGAAAAGAAATTGTTTTTAGGCATAAATCTGAAAGAATGGAAGAATGGATAAAGAGACAACAACCTAAACCTCTTAGAAACTAGAACAAAAACTGGTGCACAGTAAAGGGTTTGTTGAAATCTTTGCTGACATAGCAGAGGGTAACCAGCAAACCAGATTCGCATCCCAGACCCTCCGGACGCAGGGACAGAGGGCAGTCGATACTGTGGAGGAGGCAGCAGCATGAGCAAAGGGTGGAAAGTGGAAATCTGTTTAGAAGTCATCAGATCTCCACAGCCCATGCCCGCCCCTCCAACCCACCTGTTGCTCTCCCTCACCCCAGGAAAGGCAGCTGCCTATTTCTTTATGCAAGGAGGACTGTTTTTTGGAGATGGTTGGAGAAAGTTGTTGGGTTGGGTGCCATCAGGGGGAGGTCAGATGGGAGAACCAAAATGTGGGTTAAATGAATGTGTGCACGCTGGATGCAGACTCACCCATCCCCAGCTCTCTTCTCCCATCTGGTTCTCAGAAAACCGGCGACATAGCCTTTGCCCTCCCGGACAGATAACACTCAACGTGTTCTGTGAAATCTGACCAACGCAAAGGGAAGAAATGCACAAGTTTCTCCATCTAAACAGTTCAGGCAGATCCCCTTACCCGGCCCCTCACAACACCTGCCTAGGTGTCCAGATTGCAGTGCTTTTTACGATGGGCATTCAATCAAGAATGCACAGCCTTCCCACATAAAAAATAAGAGAGAAACAAACAAAGAAGAAAAAATGGCTTGGAGAAAATGGGGCCCATGCAGGGAGGAAATAGAACATGACAAATAAAAGCACTGCAAATGTCTCAGCGATAAAAGGATATATTGCGACTGTGAAATGAGAACAGTCAGTTCAAAAAAAAAACAACCCAACATTCAGAGTACATAAAAGAGCTCTCAGAAATTAAAATGTGATAGAAAAAAACTCAGTAAAATCATTACACAATAAAGCTCACCAAATCCTCCAGAAAGTAGAGCAAAGAGATGAAGTGGCATAAAGTAGGAGAGATGAGATAAGAGAATTAAAGGACAGGTCCCAGGTGCCTGATAAGTGAAGGTGGGAGTCATGCTCGGAAACCTGAAGGATAAGAATTTCTGAACTAGAATTCCATGCTCAGCCAAACAATTAAATACAAGGTAGAATAACACATTTTTAGGCATGCAGCATCTCAGAAATTCGTTCCCATGAGCTTTTCCTTAGGAAGATCCTAGATGCCATGGTCCACCAAACGAAGAAAGGATGTAGAGACTATTCCTGAATAGCAAACCTACGGACAGAAGCCACGAGCATCCCCCACAAAGGCATTCACTGAGGCTGTCGGGCCGCTAGCTGGGCACCAGGCATCAAAGCAACAGGTCCAGGTGGTAAAAGACTCCAGGCGATAAAGCTGATAGAACCCCCTATTCTGCTGAAACTACTGGGAAGGGTTTGTGGTTTGAAGTAGTAAGAACATAGGAAACTGTAAGCTAATGGTTAACTCTAGGAAAACCACAGCCCTAAGGAACAGAAAACTCAAGTTTACTGCATGTCTAAGTTAAGAATTGTTTGTGTAACATCCTAATAAAGGGAGCCTTGTTGAACATACTACCATGCAGGGATGGGGGCGCATATGAGCTGAAAAATGAATATTATCCCCAATAATGTTGCTGTCATGTGTCCTAGGGGGAAGCCTTTCTAGAGACTGCATAAGAAAAGCATAACACAGGTTATTTACAGAAATGTAGCTAAATACAGAAACAGCGAAAAGAGGTTCAACTATTTGCCTCTGAAAAGGAAAAAATTGGGGATGGGGGAGGTGGAGGCACTTTTAAAGAAAGAGCTTGTGGAATTATTTGATTATTAATATATATGCATGTATAATTCTGGAAAAAATCTTACTAAAAGGATGGACAAGGGGAAAAGAAAGAGTATGAATTGTATCAGTCGAGAAGAGTATATTTATTGGCCTGAATGAACTGCCTTATTCTTTCTGAAACGACTTTAGTTATAAATCAGCAAACTAGCTTCTGAGCGAGTTTGGGAGAGCTTCTTATTTGGATGAAATCGTTAAGTATATTCTCATTATTATCATTCTAAAATGTTGATCTAAATGATCTATTCTTACAATCTTAACTATAAACTCTCATCTTTGTAGAATATAATTTTGGAAAACGTATACTTCAATAAATGATTAGTCTACTAGCGAGGTATCATATATGAAAAAAGAAAATATCATACATTAAAAATGTCGGAGCTGCAGACCTCATTAATTCAGTTTTTTTTCCATATTCTATCTAGGAGAAGGTGAAGTTTACCTTTGAATGCCTAAGAAGAAATGAATATTGTAAGCATCATTATAAGGATATCTTGGTCATTTCTTTAAAGGAAACTGAAGATTGCAGTGTATAATATCTTATTTAATAGATTCTCTTTTTTTAAACAAATATATATTGAGTGTATTCATGTAATAAGTGCTTATTAAAGACCTATTTTGTTCAAGCGTTCTACTACATATCGGGAACACAAAGCCAAAATACTTTTTGCTTTTAAGGTGACAGGTGAATAAAGAAACTGACCTAAAATTAGCAATTGTGCTGAAAAGGACAGATAACAATTGCTCTATTGAAGAGTTACATAGAATGCACTAGCAGCCCAGAAGAGAGTACAGACATCATGCAGGGAATTTCCGGGGAACTTGAAGCATAGGTGAGAGTAAAGTCCATGGGTTGATGGGGAAAATTCCAGGAAGAGAAAGCAGCTTGGGCTGTGGGGAAAGTATCACGTGTTCTGGGAGGATATCTGGAGCTACTGGTCAAGGAGTCTGAAGAGACAGGAAAAGATTTTTTAGATTGTATTATGTAGGTGGAGGCAAGGAGACACTATGAATAGCTATTATTATTAACAGTAGCCAAAAATTTTCAAATTGCTTCTCTATGCTAGGCACTAAGCCAGGCTCTTTACATATACAAAATCTTATTTAATCCTTACAACTACTCTATCCTCGCTTTTAAAGTTTCAAGCTTAAGGAAAGCATAGTAATATTTGTGTAGAAACTTTATTCTAACACTCTTGAGAAAATGTTGCTGTCAAGTAAAAAAAAAAAAAGGATACAGAATGGTTTATGTAGCTATTTAACATCATATATAATAGAGCAAGAAACAAGATTGGTAAGATAAAGTGTGTTATTCTTTTCACCACTTTGAAAGTTTCTAAAATATCCATTTATCAATTTAAAAATAAGAACAATGTCTTCTTGTAGAGGAACGGGGTGGGGGGAGGAGGAGAGGGAAAGAGAAGAGATCTTTTGAGGAGGGAAGAAAAGAAAGAGAGAGCGAGCGAGACAGACATTCATGGGAAGGCAGACTATAGTGCCAGGAGGTTGCAAACAGAACACCAAGAACAGAGAGACTCTTCCCACAATGGTCCAGGCCCAAGACAGGTATTCTTCCGTAGGATAGCAAACGGATGAATAAGAGCAATATTTAAAAAATGAATCCAAAGGAAATGGTCCCCCCCTTGGATGCTAGTGGCTCTGCGCACCCACCAAGAAGGAGAGCGAAGACAGGGTGAGGTTGAGGAGAGGGAGTGACGGGGAGAGGCAGTTCCTAGAGCTGTGATGCTATCATTGGTGGGTTGTTTCACTTAGCACAACTAGTTCCTGTTCCTTTATTGTGTTGTCTCCGTTAATCACATTCCTGGTAAAGAAAAAGGATGGTTGTGCAACCTTGGTCACCAAGTTGATCCAGAACCTCAGGTTCTGCTTTTGGACCAAATGAAACCTTTCATCCTATATTCATGACGACCCAGAACTTCCCCTGGCATGACCTCCGGGAATATAAAGAGAGCACAGTGGGGGACCTAAAGTGCTGGTCTGAGAGCGGAGGTGACTCTGCACCCAGATTGTCTGGACTTGCCTCCCCCTTTCGAAGTTACAAAATGCCTAACTGCTCCTAAGAGGCTGTGGCTCAGAACGTTACAGTAACAGCTTCTCTCTACTGTGCGCTCCTCCCCGCCGCTCCGCCTCGCTTTTAACCGGGCCCCTGTCTTCCTCCCACAGGGCTCTACGAAACCTTTCTAACCACGGAGGACCCCGAATGCTGTGATATCAGGAGAGAAGAGCGCCCGAGCAAGCCCTCCAGAGGGACGCTGGGGACCAGCAGCCCCTGTCACAGGACGTCACTCACAGTGTCATCAGCAGCCAGACTGGGCAACAGCAGACTCAAACTGTGCGTTCTCGTACTGATTCTCCTGCACACAGTGCTCACGGCCTCCGCGGCGCAGAACAGCACGACGCTGGGCTTGGGGGGCATCCACGCGCTGGAAGAGAGCTCGCCGCGCGACGAGTAGCCCAGGAGGGGGCCCCCCAGCCCCCGCGCCCGCTGCCGCTCGGACACACACGGGGTGCTCTTACCCTCCCGCCGCTTCCCGCGAGGCCTTTAGGGTAAAACCGAGGAGGATGGGCCTGGATCCAAACGAGGACACAAACACAGCTTTTTATTGACTAAAAGGCTGTAAAGTGACTTAAATTTCTCACACCATTTTATACACTGTGTTTTAATGTTTGGAGGTTTTCTTTGCTTTCCTTTGGTTTGGGTTTATTTGTTCGTTTACTTTTTTGCACTTGTTACTACAGGATTTATTTTTGGGGATGGTTTCTCAGAGGTAAACTAAGTCTTCACTGTCTCTTTCTCTCTCTTTCTCTATATATATATTTCTAGTCATTGTGTGTGTTCATCAGATAGTTCTGTCTCTCTGTCCTGTCAGTTTCTATTAGAGGAATGATCGCTATGACCTCACGGTATAGCAAAATACAACAACAACAACAAAAAAAATCATAAAAGATAAAAAAGACAAAAAAAAGAAAACAACAAAAAATACAAATAAAAAAACCCCCCGAACTCT